CAGGTTCCCGTGAGTGTTGTGTGTGTGTGTGTGTGTGTGTGTGTCTGTGTCTGTTTGATGAAGATCTGATTCCTGTCTGTCATCCGTGTGTCTCTTCAGGTGGTCATTAACTGTCCTCTGGTCCGGGGGATCAAATATAACCAGGCCACTCCTACGTTCCACCAGTGGCGCGATGCGCGGCAGGTCTGGGGTCTGAACTTCGGCAGTAAAGAAGACGCGGCTCAGTTCGCCAGCGGCATGACGCACGCGCTCGACGTGCTGAGCGGAGATGCCGGTGAGAGCTCTTAGGGAAAAAAACGTGTTTTTAGGAGTAAAATGTGCTATAAATCAGTGTGAGTGACATATCAACAAACCTTCAGAACACAGAGAGGAATAAAACTATGAAGGCTTGTGTGTGTGTAAGAGAAAAAATCTTTAAAGATATGGATTGGAATTGAAATCTACAGACGCAAATAGATAAAAAGCAGTAAAATGTGTATTTAGTATGTTTTCTTTCCTCTAGTCTGAAAGAAGAGACATGATATGCAAGCAAAATAGACCAAAAAGTGACCAATGCATGAAAACACACTGGTTTGTCTGTAGTGTCTCGCCATAAAACATGTAAAAACACCTGTATGTTTAGAGTTTTTGATTTGTGTCCACAGGTGCATGTCCTCCTCCTCCTCGACCGCCTCCGAACGGCCCGAGCGCTGAGGAGATAGAGCAGAAGAGGAGGTACAAACATCATCATCATCTTCTTTATCATGACATGGAAATCAGCCCTGATTTACCTCATTTATTCTGCATAAATCAGAGTTTGCCTTCATTTGAACTTTCTATTCATCTGTGAATCCTAAAAAATAAAATGTATCAGTTTCCACAAAAATATTGTGCAGCACGACTGTTTTCAACATTGATAATAATCAGAAGGAGGTCTGGCCGGGGCGCTCGCTGGAGCTAAACTACGCAAAGTGGCCAAGGTCAGTCACATGGTCATCTGATGGTTAATGAGATGCATGTATGTCTGAGCTTTCCTGTGTTGTAGTGCTTGATTGACAGGTGAGTAGGCGGTCCTTCACTGTTGTCCATGATGTGTCACAGCTACAGATCTGATCACGTGACCAGCTAGCTGTTCAACCCGGGGCCTCAGGATGAATTGAAATGAGGCAAAACAAGCATTAAAATAAGCTAAAATCAAGATGTTTCTTACTTTAGTTCAACAGCTAAACAGCTGTTTTTGTCTTTGAAGAAGCAGGATTCATACGGTCTTGGAAAACCTGGATATATGTGACCCTGGTTCACAAAACCAGTCATAAGTTTAATTTTTTTAAATTGAGATTTATACATCATCATTTATACATCGCCAAAGCTGAATGAATAAGCATAAATTTCCATTGATGTATGGTTTGTTAGGATAGGACAATATTTGGCTGAGATACAACTATTTGAAAATCTGGAATCTGAGGGTGCAAAAAAATCTAAATAATAAATTATAGTTTAACACCTATTCACATAGAAAACAGCTGTTTATATCATAAAAAATATTTCACTATTTTTACTGTATTTTTGATCAATACATGCAGACTTGGTTAGCAGAGGAGACTACTTTCAAAAAAATTACAAAATCGTAATTATTCCAAACTTTTGGAAACGACTCTCCTCTTCAGCTGATGTCATCAGTCCCTCTTATTCACCAACCAATCAGTGGATGAATAAAATCAAGTCCCGCCCACATATATTTTGCATGAAACATCCTGTTTTGCTGTGAAATGTGTCACATTAGAGCTGTGAAACTGTGTGTCTCAGGCAGGAGCAGCAGGAGAGAGAGAGACAGGAGAGAGAGAGACAGGTGTCTGCCGCTCCGGCCCCGCCTCCTGGTCCTCCTCCCGCTCCTGGCCCACTATTTGAAAATCTGGAATCTGAGGGTGCAAAAAAATCTAAATCTTGAGAAAATCATCTTTAAAGTTGTTCAAATGAAGTTCTTAGCAATGCATATTACTAATCAAACATTAAGTTTTGATATATTTACGGTAGGAAATTTACTAAATATCTTCTTTACTTAATGTTCGGTCTTACTAATGATTTTTGAAATAAAGCTGAAATAAAACTAAATTGTAGATAAAAATAAATGATAAATATTTTTTTAAATGACAATTTAAAAGCAATTTTTTTCACCATCGGCCATGGATTATATCCTGTCAGTCAAAAGGCAGCGGAAAAACGTGTCACACTGCAACTCATACTGTGTGTGAAGAAAATCTCTCGTGTTGAATTTAGGGCTGTCAAAATTAACACAAAATTCAATTCAGGGATGCCAGATCTCATCTTTCAAATTCTGTCCATTCCATCACAAAATTCAAGCAATGAATGCCGTTTTGATGCTTTTAAATGTGACAAGACAGATCACTGTAGCCTTCAAGCTGCACCGCAGAGCAAGAGTTTCTTCCACTTGAATACAAGTTATAGTGTGAAATAAACATGAATGAACATTAGAGGATATGTTGAAAGACACAGTAAGGCAAGGCAAGTTTATTTATATAGCACATTTCATACACAATGGTAATTCAAAGTGCTTTACATAATATATATATACACATAACAATAAAAACAAGAAATTTTAAAACTTTTAAAATTATTTATATTTTACCAAAAATGTATCATGTCTCATGTAATCAGTCAATTTGTGTTTCAGCTGTGGAAAGACGCCAATAAAACAGCTTGTGAACAATGTCACATAACATTGCGTTTACCTCAGGAAAGTTATCCAGTGTTCACAGTTCATTAGTTGAGCTTAATTATTGTTAATTTTATATGTATGTTTGAATAAATCTGTCTTGAAGACAAATTTTTTTGAAAACTACCTTATATGCAACTGTTGTATACAGACATTTGCATTTTTAATTTGATTGTAATTATTAGGGGTTGAACAACTTCGAGTCGACTTTTATGTGATGAAAGTCGAGTCGAAGTCGACTAGTCGCTGATGACGTCATTAATGAACAAATAAGTCTGGAGTAGGGATGTAACGGTATTAAAATTTCATATCACGATTATAGTGCCCAAAGTTATCACGGTTATCAATATTATCACGGTTTTGTTAAAATGAGATGAAAATGTTCAAAAAGAACTGATAAACGCACTGAAAACATTTCAATAAGTTTTATATTTGAAAATCAACAAACAACAAACACAATTAGCAGCTATATGCACTTTTTTTAGCATAAACATTAAATTAACATTAACATGAAGCCCTAATAATACCAGATCTCCGATTTGGTCCTCTTAGATGGCTGAAAAATCTCCCGAGCGCTGTCACTGCCTTCCGCCATTTCGTCTCGTGCAAAAAAACAACAACAACAACATTGCATGCTGCTTCTGCGTCAGACTGATGCTGGCTGGACAGGATTTACCGCAAGTTTTCAAAATCGCGATAATCAAACACGGTTTTGATGATAATTAAATTTTAAACGATAATACTAACCGTCAGGGCATTTTATCATGAAACCGGTAATCGTTCCATCCCTAGTCTGGAGCTGTGATAAACACCTTGTGCACAGCTATGGCATATGACACAGCGCTGCCCACACGGCTATTGCTCCTATAACAGCTTTTTTATCCGTTCTTTTGTCTTTGGGTCGTTATATTTCTCTCGACGTCAAGTTTAAAGTCGACTAGTCGATTAGTCGGTGCAACCCCTAGTAATTATGATATCTGAAAATAAATAGTAGTTGAATATGATAGCTCTGTTGTAAATTTTAACCTTTAATATTATAGTAATGTACCAAATGAGAGGGTTCCCTGTATAGTTTACAACATTGGTTAGGAGAGTTTTTTTCCTTAAGAAAATCAAGCTATCAGCATCGTTATCAGCAGATATCATTCTGAATAATCAGCTATCAGTATTAGCAGATATAATTCTGAATTAAAGCTGCAAGCAGCGATGAAAGGGCCCTCGCACCCGGGCACGCCGCCACCCGGCGGCTTTAGGAAAACCGCAAATGGTGGGCAATATGCATTTAAAGTGGTAAATATAGGAGGAATATGTCAAAGTCATTTATATGTGCCAAACTTCCTGCTGCCAGCTGGTGGCGCTATGTCTATAACTAAACATTGGCATGTAGATGTCTTTAGGCCAGTACTTTTATCAAACATGTGAAGTTTGGTGAAAATTGAACATGGTATGTTTGAGTTAGTTTAAAGCATGACATATCCTGTTGTCAACAGATGGCGCTATGATTACATCTGAATATTGGCCTTTAGATGTCTTCAGGCAAGGACTCTTACCAAATATGTGAAGTTTGGTGCAGATTGGACATTGCATGTTTAAGTTAGTGTAAAACAAGCCATTTCCTGTTGCCAGCAGGTGGCGCTATGATTATAATGGAATATTGGCCTTCAGATGTGTTCAGGCCAGGACTCTTATCAAACATGTGAAGTTTGGGGAAGATCGGACATTTTATGCCTGAGTTACAACAACTTCTATTCCCATGGCGAGACATTGAACTTTGTCACGGCGCCATGGACATGCCCTTTAACGAAAACTCAAGATCTTCGCAATTTAACATCGCAAAGGCCTTCAGATTACACTGACCAACTTTGGTGTTGATCTGAAAAAATCTCTAGGAGCAGTTCGTTAAAGTACAACCCCTGAAAATGGCAAAACCGACACAAATTTTGCTGAGAAAATTCAAAATAACCGGCTTACTGTTAGGATTCAGATTTCATACCAGGAGACTTTTTTGTAGGTATTGGTGTGTTACATGTGTGTACCAATTTTATTCATTGTGTAGTTTAGAGAGCTTCACTGATTATAACGGAACTTTGTGAGATCCCAATGAACTAAGATGAGTGATGCTTTTAGTGATACTAATGGGAGCGCGCTTTGCGTGCTTTCTAGGCTATAACCCATTCATAATTTGTATGAAACTTTCATTTTTCGGACATACATGCTGCAACGTTTCGGGAATGACATCTGCATATTTATGCTGGATTCATTCTCGAAATACCAGTGATTGACACAGTGATAAACAAAGCAATGGACAGGACAAAAATGCCTCCTGAGCGAGCGAGATCCAGTTCACGGACTAAAAGTGTGTGTGAACTTTATTGAGATCGGGACATATCAACCAGCAATTTCATTTCCAGTAACGGATGGTAGAATTTTTAGAAATCAATAGTATGCAATTCATGACAGAATAGTCCCACAACTGATCGTTTATTTTTTCCTTACGTGTCTCACCTTTAGTAACAACAATTCAAAACGGACACATTTCAAGTGACATGGGAAAAAGACACGGAAAACTTAAATAAACATCAGAAAAGCGTGCACACTTCTGGTTAAAAATGAAAGGCCACTTAAAACGGGAAGCATCACCATTCAAATCAGCAACAAGAGTCAAAGCTCCACAGTTTAGTAAACGCAGGCAACCTCTTTAAGTTATTCTTGACTGCGCTGTAATGACTGCTTTGATGCATACATCCGAAAAAGATTTCTTTTGCCTTTTTTTTTTCTAGCTCCAATGACTCAAGAGTCAAATGTCGCCCGTGGGTAATGATACTGGCAGATATTCTGAATATTCAGCTGTCTGTATCGGCAGATATCATTCTCGATAATCGGCTATCGTTATTGGTATCGGCAGATATCATTCTGAATATTCAGCTGTCAGTATCGGCAGATATCATTCTGGATATTCAGCTGTCGGTATCGGCAGATATCATTCTGGATAATCGGCTATCGGTAACGGTATCAGCAGATATCATTCTGAATATTCAGCTGTCGGTATCGGCAGATATCATTCTGGATAATCGACTACCGGTAACGATATAAGCAGATATCATTCTAAATAATCTGCTGTTAGTTTCGGCAGATATCATTCTGGATAATCGGCTATCGGTAACGGTATCGGCAGATATCATTCTGAATATTCAGCTGTCTGTATCGGCAGATATCATTCTGAATATTCAGCTGTCGGTATCGGCAGATATCATTCTGAATATTCAGCTGTCTGTATCGGCAGATATCATTCTGAATATTCAGCTGTCTGTATCGGCAGATATCATTCTGAATATTCAGCTGTCGGTATCAGCAGATATCATTCTGAATATTCAGCTGTCGGTGTCGGCAGATATCATTCTGGATAATTGGCAGAGAAATTACGTAGAGAAGTAATGGTGCATCTCTAATTTATATATAGTATTTTTTATTACATTTTAGTAAAATATTTTGTGCAATATATGTTGTCTAATATTTATGCTAATCAATGAATTTGTATGACTTTTCATGACACATTTTTACATGACACACATCACATTTTCATGTGTGTGTGTGTGTGCAGGAGGACAGTGGAGCAGCGGCTCCTGCAGTGAGTGCCAGCACAGGAGGAGGAGGAGGAGGAGGAGGACTGATGGGAGAAATGAGTGCAATTTTCGCTCGACGGTCAGTTTTAACTCCACCACAGTCATATGATGTTTGCTCTGCAGTAGAAATATATACATATATACGTCCATTAATAACCATATATACATAAATTTAGTCTGAAACCATCCACTTAGACAGGAAGTGGCTGTCTAAGAGTCTCCTCCAGTACTTCATGTGCCATTTAGAGTCAATCTGAAACTGATGCTGCAGCAGCAACACTATAGTGCTGCACTGAGTGTGAATACAGCAGCTCTTCATCTGTGTGTTACAGAAGAAAAGTTGCTGACACTCCAGCTGTCAAGACAGAAGAAACCAGCAGCGTGAGTCTCTCTGTGAGTGAGTGTCTGTGTGTGTGTGTGAGTGAGTGTCTGTGTGTGTGTGTGTGTGTGTGTGTGAGAGAGAGTGTGTGTGTGTGTGTGTG